TGGACTGTGGTAGAGGATTTGAGCAAGTGCACAGACCTTGCTGCTGTTGCAGAGGCCCTTAAAGACGGCAGCAAAAGATTAGAGGCTTTTGTCGTTCTAGATATTTGAACCCCAAACCCTAAACCCTAAACCCTAAACCCTAGACTCCCACACGACGACGCTGCGAACTGCAGCCATTTTTTTTCGTTGTGAACTCTTGAGCCCTTTTACTAGCTGCTACTAGGCTTCCCTTTGCTGCTGCTGCTGCTGCTGTCGCTGCTGCTTCTGCTGCTGTTTTTGTTGCTATTCTGTGCTTCTCTCCCATTTGCTGCTGCTGCTCTTGCTGCTTTTTGTGTGCTGCACCGGCTTTTGCTGCTGCTGCTGTTGCTGGCGTTATCATTGTCTGCTGCCTCTGCTTTCGCTGCTCCTTTTGCTGCTGCTGCGGCTTTTGCTGCTGCTGCTGCAGCTGCGGCTTTTGCTGCTGCTGCCGCTGCTGCTGCTGCCTTTGCAGCCCAGCCACGCAGGTGTTTGTTCTTTGTGCTGCTGAGCTTTTGTCTGTTTTTCTATTTTTGTGATTTACTAAATTAAAATTTTTAATTCAAATTAATTAATTTAAAAATCAAAATTAGAAATCAACTAATTAGCAAAAAACCGAAAATGCAAATCAAGAAAAATAAGGAGGCATTTCAACAAGCGGAGAGCAGCAAAGAATAGCAAACAAGCAGCAGCAAATTCTCGAACTTTCGACATTTTATTGTTGAGAAAACATTTATACCTTTTAAATATCTTTTAAATATCTTTTAAATATCTTTTAAATATATTAAATTAATTTAAAAAAATTTAATTCAAACTTTCCGCCTTTTTGGACACCATATGCATATCTGTGCATGCACGGGGTGTACTTACACCCCAATATAGACGCAGGCGCCAAAAAGGAGTTCTCCAGATTTTGCATCAAAAGTTGCTTTTTGTTTTATTCATTTAATTAAATAAATAAAATTAAACACAATCTTGGTAAAAGTTGTTCTTTATTTCATTTATTTAATTGAAGCTTCGAATTTGTTTTCCGACTGCTTTCTGCAACGAACTCTTTTGCAATTAGATTTCCTTTTGAATTCTTTGGTTTTAATTTACTTTTATTTTGCATGTTAATTCAATTTGAACTCCAAAAGTATTTATAATTTTAATTTTCTGCACTTTTCCACTTTTGTTTTGCGAGCATCTCCACCAGCTGTACATACACCGCAGAGTGTTCTGTTCTCGGGCTTCAAGTTACGAAAAAGGCGGAAATAAAATAAATAAAAATAAAAAATAATAAACAACAATAAAATAAACAATTAATAATAAGAGAGGCAGGATCAAAATAAACAAATCGGTTTCTTATTTTCTGCAGCGGAGGAAAAAAGAAACAAATTCAAAAACTCGGTTTGCTGCTGAGGTGTACGTACACCTCAGCAGCCCTGCCGCTCTAAATGCAACAAAAGCTATTGTGGGGTTTATAAAAAAGACAAAAGGGCACAAAACTAGGAGCTAGCTAGCAGCAGCTGCTGCTGCTGCAGCTGCTGCTGCAGCTGAAGCAGCAGCAGCGGACGCATCTGAAGCAGCAGCAGCAGCTGTGTCTGCGGCAGCAAAAGCAGCAGATGCGTTTACTTCGGCAGCTGCAGCAAGTGGTTCCTGTACACCTGCAGCAGCAGCAGGAACAGCAGCAGCAGGTCCCGCCGCCGCTGCTGCTGCTGCTGGACTGCGCCCGGGAGGGCGGCACTTGCTGCAGCCCGCATCTCGAAGAGCCTGCACCATTTGGTGCTGCTGCGGCAGCAGCAGCAGCAGCCCCTGCTGCTGCTGCTGCTGCTGCTGGTAGCTCTCGAGCAGCTGCTGCTTGAGGGCCTCCAGCTGCTGCTGCTTCTGCTGCGACCAGCCGCAGCAAGCAGCAGCAGCACCCACCTGGAAGCAACCCCACAAGCAGCGGCCGCAGCGGGAGTGGTAGCTGTAGTCTTTGCTGCAGTCTGCTGCTGCTCTTTTAATGAGACATTTGTCTCCTCCGGGGTGTCTCTGCAGCAAACTGTTTATTTTATAAGTGCTGCTGTTCGCCTGCAGCAGTAGCGAGCCCAGCAGCAGGTGCCGGTACATCTGGCACGGCGTGAAACACGGCCCCCTGCTGCTGCTGCTGCTGCTGCTGCTGCTGCTGCTGCTGCTGCTGCTGCTGCTTGGCGTGCACGGGATCGGGAACTCCGCCCTGCTGCTGCTGATGCTGCTGCGCCGCAGCAGCCAACGCACGACGACGTCGTACGCGTACCGGAAGCCGCCGCCGCTCATGAGGCTGCTGCTGCTGCTGCTGCTGCTGCTGTGCTGCTGCTGCTGCTGCTGCTGTACACTACGGCCGTAGCAGTTCGCGCTGCACTGGAAAAGGCAGCAGCCAGAGGGGGCGCGCGCGCAGCCACCGCGCTGCTGCTGCTGCTGCGCCTTCTGCTGCTTCTGCTGCTGCTGCTGCGGCTCCTGTTGCGGATGCTGCTGCAGAAACTCT